ACATAATTCTAGAAAAGACACAAGTTATAAGAGGTTCTTAAAATATATGTTCAGGCATAACCCAAAAGTACCTTAAACCCTACCTCTCCCCCTTTACAGTATGTCACAGCATTATTTTTTTAATTTACCATTTCTTCCTGTAACAAAAAACAGCTTGCTTGTAGGTTAGCCTGTAGGCACGCCCCCTCTCCCCTGCCCCAAGAACTACATTTCCTGAGAGTCCATTTGCTACTAACAGTGTGTAGACCAGTCTTTCTAGACCAGGGTGCCATGGCTTCCTGGGGTGCCTTCTGGCTTTCTCAAGGGTGCCTGGTAGGACTCTTGAGGAATGGAGGACTCTGACGTGAAGGGGAACTCTGATGTAAAAGGGGAGACTCTGGAATTAAGGGGGACTTCTAATGTGAAGGGAGGTTCCTGCTGTGAAAGGGGGGGACTCTGATGTTAAGGCAGGCTCCTGATTTTAAGGGGGAGTTTAGTAGGAAGGGGAAACCACACTTTTTATGTGTTTTTGTGTGGGTCCCCCCTTAAATTCCATTACATTTTGGCATGGGGTGCCTCAAGATTTCATGCTTTTAAACGGTGCAGTGAATGAAAAAAGATTGGGAAATGCTGGTGCAAACCACCTATTAGAAGGCAAGGCAGCAGCAGTATTTTGCTGAGAAGTAAATCAATGCATGCATGTGAAGTGGGTCAAACAACACTGCTTAGAGTTCCAGCTCAGCAGAGGTACTGCGCTGTCAGCCCCAACAGGGGGTCCAGTTCACTGGACTTCTGGCATATCAACAAGTATGTTTTTGTACTTACAATGTTTTTAATGTGAGCAAAATGGGAAGTGCACTGGCATACACTTTAAAGAAAATCTTTAGTGTAATGTCAGTGAATTGTAATGTTGAGTCATCACTGAAACATTTTCCTGAAAGTAATTTCTAAAGTGACCTCACAATTTTACTGGCTTGCTGTTCCATCTTTTGATTATTGTATTTTATATGCAGATTTGTAAATATTCCTTCCAGTGCTCATCTGTATATGAGCAAATGTGACTCCAGCAGACTTTTACTGCAGACTCTGACCATATTTGGGAAATTTCCCTTATTTTCTGTCCAAAGAGGAAGTGTTGGGAAATCTCTTCAGTGGGGACACACATAGCAACAAAACAATTTTATTGTAGTAAAATGGAGACGGATATATTTATTGTTTGTGCCTCCCTCATTCTTGTCCTGACATCACGGCTTATCACATTTTGGAACTTCCTTCACTTTCAGTTCAGGTGACAATGGTCAAACAGAGAGGGAGAATCCTCCATTGGGCACAGGGACAGCAATAAAAACCTGACATGGTTATATAGTTACATAACCTCTCACTACTCTGCCCAAAACTAAAACAAAGTTTATCTTTAGGTAAACTTTAAGAATAAATGTTAGCTGGATATGTGATGAAAAATATGTTATACTAAGAAGAAGGTCCGTAATACTTCACAGGGTTTTTGTGGAGAGATTTTCAGTTTCTTTCAGCTCTTCACTCCCTATAGCCTAGAGGTCTATTTATATTTAAAAAAAGTCACTGTGCAATTGTATTACCATTTGCACAAACATTGAAAGTAATCATGTTAATACAGTATGTGCAAAATTATACCTTCTGATATTTAAGTTATATTTTGCAAATCAAATGTATCTCATTTGGAGAATCTTGTTTCTCTCAATTTTGTTGAATTAAATGTAATTAGAAAGTTTTAGAGTGACACTAAACTCAGGAGTTAAATCTTAAAAATAAATTCAAGTACCCTAACTATTAACAAAAATGTATCTTATATGTGTATCACTCGGCTGTAGATCCTCAAATCATCTCTGAATTGGTGCTGCCACTGTCCTTCCTTCTGGAGGGTGGCTACTTTTGTTCCCCATGGTCCCTGTGAGTGTGGTAAAGTAGTCACTGCTCCAAGCTCACTCCCGTGATCGACTACAATCTCAATACAAAATAACTTTTCATGCTTGGAGTGGTGGCTACTTTACAACACACACACAGGGACCATGGGGAACACAAGTTGCCACCCTCCAGAAGGAAGGACAGTGTCAACACCAATTCAGAGATGCTTTGAGGATCTACAGCCGAATGATACACAAATAAGATACATTTTTGTTAATAGTTAAGGTAGTTGAATGCATTTTTTAAGATTTAACTACTGAGTTTAGTGTCGCTTTAAAGAGTATCAAGCTTTAAAGGTTCTACATCCAATCACATGTATGTTAATAAAGACCACATGGAAACTCTAGACACGGGGTCTAATTTGTGAAGTGCTGCAAACACACCTAAACGTGTCAAGAAGACGTTCTATTTTTTAAATACATGGTATTGTATTGACTTTTCTGGCGAATATAAGCAGCACTGGATGCAACATATTCTAAGAACATTTGATCCTGAGAGCAATTACCTTCAAAACATTAAATCAAAAGAGAAAATCCCCCGAGGGACATTTGAGTTGTCCCATATGCACAACAGCCACAACTTTATACATAGAGCGAAAAATACCTAAATTAGCGAATGGTGATTAATTAACAAAACAAATGAACGTGCAATTTCACTAGAAGAAGAGCTATGCTAATTTTGAATAAAAAGGCCTCTTTATGTAAAAGGAGCATCATCAGAGTCTGTGCCCTCGGCAGCAGTGTATTGGCCTCACTTCTTTCCGGAAGATACAAATGACGTGAGATAAGTTGAAAGTGTCTTGTAGAATGATTTGCCTAATGTATCTAAACTACTGCAGTAGTTGAGGAAATGATCTTAGCTATAGAGAGTTGAAATTGCAGTTATTAAACTTATTTTTACACTTTGAATACAAGACAGCAGTCATATGTCAAAGCCAAACCCAGCTCCGTTGGCTGCCATTCGAGAGAGGTATATATTACATAGGCATTTTAAGCTGGCACAACTGTGCAGAATATAGCGAATTATATTTTAAACAGAGCAGGTATTTGTACGAATAAATTAACATAATGAACAATGGGTCAAAATAAAATGCACCACTGTAAACAGATATTTTAAATTCTGAAGACAAGGAATACAGTGACACCAACATTTACTGGGCTGAGTTAAGACTTTACCCAATATTTTGTTTTGAGAATGTCGATGTCTCGGTAGGTCTCAGGTTTGTACTACAGGCTGCATTTAAATCTGACACTTCAATAGCTGAACAAGACACTCAAACCACAAACATTTTTTTTTCTTTATAAATAAGTATTTGAGTGTTTTCTGCCAAATCAGGAATATAAAACATTTGTGAAATATATGTCAGATGTTAGCTTGGAGTAGATGCTGGAATAAGATGTTTTAAATAACAGGTAAATGGTCAAACTTTAAAGAGACACTAAACTCAGAAGTTACATCTTAAAAATACATTCAAGTATACTAACTATGAACAACAATGTATCTTATTTGTGTATCACTCGGCTGTATATGCTCAAATCATCTCTGAATTGGTGCTGACACTGTCCTTCCTTCTGGAAGGGGGCTACTTTTGTTCCCCATGGCCCCTGTTTGTGTTGTAAAGAAGTCACTGCTCCAAGCTCGCTCCTTTGATGGACTACAATCTCAATACAAACTAGTAAACTAAACGTGAATTGTAGTCCATCTCGGAAGCGAAGAGAAAAAAAGAGCAAGAAAACCTGGGGAAGTCAAGTGACCAATCAGAAGAGTATACAGATAGTTTAAAAAAATGCAGGGGTTGGCTACAGTGGAAGAGGGGGTACTAGTGGACAGAGGGGTTAAAAACTAGAATTGGGCCTTAAAAGTTGAACTTTTGGGTGAGTAAAATATACTCTTCCGAATAGTCTGAGTCGGCTTTATGGACCGATAACTTAACATCACAGACCGCTAATCATTCAGCTCACAGCTTCTCCATGCAGAGAATAGTGACTGTCAGTCAGTGCTCCCTGCAGGGATTCCCCCCTCCCCTTCGCTCTATTCCTCCTTTGCTCATTAGAGGGACAGACGGGGAGGGGGCGGGCAAAGCTGGTTCTGACTCTAGAGGGGTAGAGCCAGATGTCAATCAGGCAGCATGGTGGATCTCAACAATATTGTCAGGACCTTTCCTAGCCGCATCCCAGCTCTGCGCTGTGAGCATATAGCATGCAGTAGCCCGCTATATTGTGACTTTGGATCACAGGAATACATTAGTAAATGTACTCCTGTGACCCAGAAGAGAACTAAAACCAAAAAAAGGATTGCCTGTAGTTCTCTTTTAAGTGCTTCATTGAGCCAGTAGTTGAGTTTCATAAGCAGGGGAGTAGCCATATATTCCTAAACAGGCCAGCCAAGGCTGAGAACCTTTTGCTTGCTAGGGTTGCAAGTGTTTTTATCCCCCCATGTTGTGGCCAATATCCAAATGAAAATCAGTGCTGTAACTAAATAAATAATTTTCAAAACTTTTTTAGGGCTTTTTTTGCATACACATCAGTGACATTATAAAAAGATAATTATCAAAAAGTGGGAGGAGCTAAATGTGTGTGTGTGTGCGCATATATAGTGATTAACTTTTTACGTACTGTGAAATTAGCTATTTTGATTGCTGTAATAAACAGCTTAAAGTGTCATTTTGTTGTGAATTGGTCATGGCCCAGCCATGCTACAGCATTCTCCAACTCATCTTCCACCAAAGAAATTAGTTGTGCACCTTTTGTTAGGTCATGTTTTTGGCTTCCACCTTAAATTTTTGCCTTCCTGTATCTCACAATACCAGACACTGATGCACTTCTGTCAATGTTTTAAACTCCATTCTGCCGAATCGGAATGGTTTAAAAAAGGAACAGAGAAAAGCAATTAATACCGTGAAATAATTTCATGCAACATATCGAATGTTCCACCTTTTTGTCTGCCTTTGTTTAAAGCCTCGAAAATTACCAGCAGACAATCCATGCAGAAAAAAAAACGCACCAAAATAATTTTTGGCCGTACGGTTATTTCGTTTCCATTTTGTGTTCAAAAGACAAAAAAAAATTTCCACTTACTTATTGCTTCTACAAACTGCTCAAAGAAGCTACGTGGGAACAGGGGCTCCGACAGCTCTCGGAAAAACATCTTGAGTGCTCCTGTGACAACGTGTATGTCCTCCCACTGGCTGTCGTCCAAATTCAGCTTCTCTTCTGGGAAAACACGGGGAGAAATGGAACAACTGGTTTTAATGAAACAATTACAAGACACTAATTATTATGTTAATGTTTGCCTACTATCATCAGCAACCGTTAACAGCCTTCTGCACCTAGAGGTTTGGTGCTGTGCTTGTTTTTTTTTTTTTCCTTTTTTTTTAACTCAAGGAAAAAAATAAAAGAGTGTTTTCAATGGATTACCATCTGTAGGAATGCAGCTGACACACAAAAAAAGAGGCGATACAAAGAGACGTGGCATTGACATAACATGTCAGATACATTTATTCCCATAATGCATCAGCCCAGAAATTAGCATTAGAGCACAACGTGATTCAAAGCTATTTGGTTTTTCGAGGCCGAGGGGCTAAGAGTTGCCAGTGATGTGCCGCTCAAGGGACCGACCCAAAGGCCTGATGGAGCCAACATGAGACATATGCTAAGCTTGACGATAGAAAATTCAGCTATTGCTTTACATATGCTAGCCATGGAAGGTGCTGGGGAATTATAGGTAAGCATTGTCACATTAATTTGTGGCTGACAGCAATATCAACAAGGAAAAGGAACGAGAAGGGGGGGCGGGGGGTGGAGGACAAAAACAAATCCTCTCTTTAATGATTTCAATAACGTTCTGTTTTCAGCTCAGCAAGGTAGTGTGTTGCAGAAACAATATTAGGCAGACTCCCGTCGTTCTACCTAGGCTGTGCAAATCTGCCAGGAATGATAACGTGCCAGACACAAAAATCACTCTTCTTTTACAATTCCCCACTCACATAGAGTGAAACAGTCGTTTGAAGCTCACCTGAACCGGGGATTTTTACCGACTTGAAACGGAGAACTCAGAGACAATATTTAATTAAGAAGAATGAAACAATTATCCACTATTTCTTGGTGTTATCTGGGTGTATTCGCCAAAACATCAAAGACAAGGTAATTAGGCGTCATGTCACCTCGCTATTCAGAGGCAAGTTTTGGAAAAGGAAGTATTGTGCAGGGGAAAAAAATAACAATTGTAATTAGTTCTGGGCCTTTGAACAATATTTCAGGTAAAGGAGAAATAACACATTTGCAAACAAGAAGGAATTTAAATACTCCAATAAATACTCCACCGCCCTGAGATTGGTTGATAAAGCAAAGCAACGCAGTATGTAAATTGTATTTTGGGGAGACGTAGAAACAACTGTGAGCATGTAATGCAATGATATAGCTTCTGTAATATACAAAGAACACACAAAAACAGATGGCGTAAGGGTGACTTCAGAACATGGGTCTCTATTGGTGACAGTCAGGCCCTATACAGATTAAATAAAGAGTATTTAAACACAAAAATAAAAATGTAATCTATTGCAGTTAACCAGTCCTTAGATGAGGTTTTGTTTATTTAGACTCCTTGCGGTTTATTTTCAACCTGGTAATCTTGCGAATAACAAACCTCATGTCATTGGGTGGCTACATGCAGTCCTCCACTGTATCTATGGAGGAAGCCATGGCAGTCATTAGGGTGAATTGCACTACAATTACATCTTCCTTCAATCATCTCCAATACATGGGGGGTAGTAGTTTATGGTATATAGGGCAGATAAGAATATCTTTGTTTTCAGGTCAGCTCACAGGCTCATATGGACAGTGAATTTCTGGAAAGATCAACAGATATTTTCTGCCCTTGCCAAAAATGATCATAGCCTGAACAAATTAAAAATAACTGCCACCACATCTTAGGGCTTGTTCGCACCAAATGCGGTGCGTTCCAGAGTGGTACACACCGCAATCGCTCACAAAAACTACCCCCTGCGTTCTGGGATGGGAGAGGGCATTGAATTCAATGGCAACGCTTCCACGCCCCCCCGCCCGCAGTGCGATTGGACGCGTGGCAAAACTTTGCCTGCGTTACGTTCCACTGCAACCGCAAAAAATAGAGCAAGCAGAGGCGAGGAAGCTGCAATATATTACATTTTTGTTCTTGGATTTAAATATTCTTGAAAGCGCTCACGGCCATCATCTTGACAAAATGTCTGAGATCACTCAATCTTCACTTTCTACATGAGAATTCTTTGCTTTCTACATGAGATCACTCAATCTTCACTTTCTACATGAGAATTCTTTGCTTTCTACATGAGATCACTCAAAGACATGCTTCTTTATTTCTACAGAAATCTCAGTGGTCCTTGCACCACATATGCACTGCATCTCTATGTCATCTGAGCTGTATAGAAACATGCAGCAAGCCCCATATGTAAGGATAGATACATCTCTCCCCAATCCTCATTCATTTCCGTATTTCTGCATATGTATGTCATTAGACAGATGAGCCATGCTTCTATTATTTGCTTTATTGAATAATTTAACCTATTGGCATATAAATTGGTAAACAGGAATGGTAAACCCCAGCAACTAATTACAAAACCATTTTTCATTGGTCTCATAACGTAAAAACCTCTTAATGCTGAAATTTGATTGGCAGCTGGGCAACTTCACTAAACAAGGCAAAACTGTAATATACATCAGCTTACCAATCCTTAAATGTGATGGCTGCATTCATTTTATTTTTTTTTAGGATTTTTTCTTTATTTTCACCTGGAGATCCGGCCCATAAGTCTGCTATTTTTCAACTACCTTTAACAGACCAAGCTGTCCAGCAAGCAGGATTGCGAGAGACCCAACGAAGAACAATGACATCAAAAAAGAAGAACCTGACGGCTTACTGTCACTTTAAAGAACGGGGTCTTTGCATTGTTGAAATGTGTCAGATATTTGGAAATGTCCCCTCTCACCGTGGTGCCACACCCCCTGCATGGCCTTATAATAAAATTGGTTTTACTCCTGATTAAATCATTTTCTCCTCTCCCACTACCATACTTTTCATAATGGACCTGTGCGCTCTACAGCTGGCGAGCTTCCCATGATACCAATTCTTACTTTATCTTTTAAGCACTTTGCAGCTAGGATCTCATGCAGAGGGCTTATGTTTTGTTAAGAGCTTCATTCTTACAGAAATAGCTGAACACATGTTCTAAAAATGTTGTACAATTTATTGCTTGAAACACATTTAGAAAATGCAAAAGTGGCGGTGTTGAATTGCCTGTTGTAGTTGAACGGTGCGCAGAATGTGCGGTGCTACGAGCACGCACTTATTGAGGCAGCTGTAGTCATATTATATCACTTGTGCCACCGGCGTGATCACATCTTCAGTGTAAAAATAATATTTAATAAATATTTCTTTAAGATATTTCATTTTATATCCAATGGTAAATCATTTTACATTTTTAGAGGAAATTGCTATACGGTATTAGTTAGTTTAACACAACAGATAATTTTTGTTAATTTTAATTAAATAGGAAAAAACAATTATATATATATCAGTAGTCCGGTACAATCAGCACAAGAAAAAAGGTTGATGATTGTTCACAAGGTAAGTTTCCGAGATATAAATTATATAAAATATCCCATTATAATAAGCTCTCACCTCCGACCATTAAAAACACCCTTTATCCCTTTGATGGAGGCAAGAAACAGCCTCATTATCCAAACAAAACACTGCAACCATGCTTCGTAGCATTTTTGTTGCTAGGTTGCATTTAATTTGAAATCTGCCTCTTGCAGTCTTTGTACAGCAGAGCTCAGAGTGGGAGAGAGAGAAGCAGTCCAAGGAACTAGTCAGGTGTACTGCAGTGCTCATGTGCTACCAAGAAGGAGATAGCAGAATGACAGAGAGATGAGCTTATCAGTTGGCTGTTTCCCCTACTGTTCAGTGACAGGGATACATTGGGATGCCTTTTAGGTGCGGACAAAAAAAACGTTCTGGCCGGGGCATGGTGTGAAAGGGGCCTTACTGTCAATTGATAGGGTGTGGGTTGGAAGGAGACCTGTCTCCTCCCACTGCCAGGTAGTATTGTGCAATGTTGAGTGCTATGTTAAGACATGCTGATAGGTTAATTGACTCCTGTTTAAATTGGCCCTTGCATTTATGCATGTGAGATAAAGGCGTACTAAAGCAGGTGACTGATCCTTAGTGATTTCTGTTGTGCTATCAAGTAACAAAAAGTCACCTGTGTAGCTGTATCTTAACTGTTCTAAATTCTTTGATATCTTCTAAACACACACATAAGAAAAAGAAAAAAAAATCCATCTAAAAAAAAACTTATTGAAAATGTGATACAGTAGAATATTACACTAGCCATAATTACGCCCGCAGGAACAGGCCAGAAGCCTAAACCAAAGTTAGTCTGCTACCAGCTCCTCCTCATTAGACAAACCGACCAGCCGTCATTATTCAAAACCAAAGCCTGAGACAAAGTGGTATTTGTTATCTTGCTGAATATACAAAATCTGCAAGTAATTTTAGTTGAAGGAGTTTATTTATCATTTGAAAAAAAACATTTATCACTGCTTCGGATCTTCTGAATCAGAGAGCATTTCCTCCTAGACGATGTGTTTTGTGATTTCACATTGAACATGAAAGATAATCAAGATAATGATGATGGGAGAGTCAAAATGTTTCCTTTCCCTAACCTTTTTTTTTTTTTCCTTGTTGATGACCTGGAAAAGGAAAGAAAATGTATCCACTTCTGTGTAACATGAATATTTTTTTTATTTCTAAAAGCTGAAAATTTTTTTTCCAGAAATATCTGAAAATTGTTATGACTAGAGTAAGCCAACGACAGACCTTGTTTGGTTTGTATTTGTATATTGACATCACCTTAGCACAGTTTTTCTCAACCAAGGATCTGTGGAATGCTAGTCTATCTTCAGGGGTGCTAGGGGCTCCTCGAACAGTGAACAATTGCGGATTGATCACCTCTCTAAAAGGGTGCCTCTATAGTTCTGTGCAAAGTCAATTAGCAGAGACAGTAATGTGGGAAGGGGGAATCTCCCCTGTTATCTGGCATGTAAGAAACCACTGAAACCAATGATGTCTGAAAGGGTGCCATGCTTCCCACTGACCACCAATGTAGGGTATATTTTTGCCTTTGACCATCAATATAATGGGGCATCCCGTCCAC